CAGCACGGGCCCCTCCTCAGCTCCGTGCAGGGGCACTGAAAATCCCATTAACTCATTTCCAGGAGATGCCTTGGCCACTGCAGCAGTAATTGCAGTTGTGAGAAGCAATTAGCAACACTGATGGCACGAGAGCAGCCCTGGGCAGAGAGTGGCTGCTTCTGGGATGCTGCTTTGCTGAAAGACAGGCACCAGCTGGAAAACATGGAGTCCTACCTCCAGAATTCTTCTTTCCAAAATTATTTCTCCAGTGCACAATAACATGGTCAAACTACAACCCAAAAAAAACCATGCAGTGAGAGGGAATCCTTGCTCTCAATCCCTTTAAATTCCACCTCTTTTTGCGTGAGGAGAATGTGCAATATTCATTTGTATTCTGTGCACATCTAAAGGGGGGTAAAAGAGAGCAAGAGGAACTCCTGGCTTGTGGGGAAGGTTAACCCTGAGCACACAGCAGAAAGAACTGCCTGGAAAACAGCCTGGCTGTCCTGAGGGGCTGGGGCAGCTCTGCCACCACTGCAAAGGGAAATGCCACATCAGCCAAAGGACTGGGGGTGCCCAGAGCAGAGCCCAAAGCTCCTTGTCCTGCTCCTTCTCTGGAGCTGCTGCATTGCCCAGGTACCTGGACACCATCAGCACCTGCAGGGCAGCAGGACAGGGCTTGGTTTAGCTCAGGCTGAGCTTAACTCCCAGAGATGAGCCAAGGATGGGTGACTGATACACATCAATGTGTTCCCAAAACTGGATTGCATTAATCTCCATCTGCAGTGAGCCACCATGGGGACAAGCAGCACAGACATTTCTCTGTCCCCAGCTCTGCGAAAGTTCAACCCTCAGGGCTCAGAGGGCACCAGCACCTTGGAAGGAAAGAGGTGATCCATGCAGAAGAGGGAAAAGTGAAGAAAAGCAGAGCACTGACCTCCACAAATACTGACAGGCAGATGTGACAGCCAGCAGATGAAAAAATAAAGAAATTAAGCTGTCTAAGGACCTAAAAACCCCAAATCTCTCTGGTTTTGCATCTGCCAGAGCAGGTTTTAGGCAGCCCATGAGAGGCCACCTGTAGCCAGTCCAGGGACTGCCTGTGCTGAGCCTGGCCCTGAGCTGGGCTGAGCCCCTGCAGTGTGGGCTGACACCAGGTTCTTATTTGCAAACATCTCCTGCCCAGGGCTGAAGGCTGGGAAAAAGCTCCATAATCCTGGCAGCTCAGTGTGGATTGTCCCTCTAAGCTCCAGAGCAGCCACAAGCCAAGAGCTGGGAGTCCCCAGCAGCCACAGAACTGGAAGTGCCTCAGCTCAAGGGGAAGGGACATGAATGGCAGAACCTGAAACTCCTGCTTTATTTTATTTCCTCCTTTTAAAAAGGCTGAAGCTGTACTTTGCTTCATGCTTTTGAAAGCCCAAGTGAAGGGTTCTTTGCTGGAAAGTTTAATTTGGTTAAATTAAAGCTACAAGAGCAGAGCTGCCCATCAGCTCCAGAGCATTTCCAGCACACAGGGGAAAGGAGACTTTCACCCCTTACCCAAACTTCCCATCTCTAGTGGGAATTGAGGCAGGCAGAGCCCCTGGAGCCTCAGCAGAGCCTTTTCTCCAGGAACACCGTGCTGGGGCAGGGCTCTGAAAACTCATCCAGGGCACTTTGGTGACAGTGACCACAGGGACCAGGGAGGGGATGACAAAAGAACTGATAAGGAACAAAGTGGTGTTTGCTGTGTTGGTGACACTTGTGTCACAAGAGCTACTCCCCGGGCCAGCTGTGGATAAAAATGTAAATGTTTAACAACAAAATCATCACTATAACCATAGATGAATCACAATTATCTGATCTGCTCCCTGTGTGTTGAACATGATAATTTTTGACTCAGACACAGCTTGGGATGATGAATGCTTGTGAAAACATTAGAAAGATATTGCACTTTGATGAACAGATTTCCAGTGATGGAGAATCCACTGTCCCACTCTCCTTCTTTTTATGTCAAACTGCTCCCAGTCTTAAAAAATGTGCACCCTGCTCTCATTCAGGACGTTTCTAGCTTCAATTTCAACTTTCAATTTCTGTGGTGCTGAGCTGCTGCCCAAGCCCTTGTGCTTCACCCTGACTTAAGAGCCTTGGTCTATCTCCAGACCAATAAGAAAGGAAAGGAAGAAGAAAAGAAGAAGAAAGGAAACCTCACATAATTCTCGTGATGTGCAGCAGGGAAGGCAAATAAAACAGCAGTGGCCTCCCAAAGACACAGGAGGTTATAGACTGTCATGAGGAGAAACAAGGAAATGTTGCTTCACATGGGAATAAATAAAAGCAGAAATAAAGAAATGAGCTCAGTTCCTCTCCCAGGCACGGGGAGGATGGCACAGAGGGTCCAGCATCCTGGAGGGCCTGGAGGCTGACAAGCCACTGCTTAGTTAGCAGCAAATAAATGCCTGGGGCTGCACGTTTTCAGAAGCAGTGTCTGATATTTGAGGCTTCACCGAGAGTCGTCCCACACCATTTCCAGAGCACGCTCTGGGGCCACCACTGCTTCCTGAAACCCACGCGGATCCCTCTGCCAGGAGAGGGCCTGCTAATTAACAGGAACTCAATCACACAAACCCACGTGTTCTGAGAGCCAGCAAAGTCCTCAGTGACCACTCTGTGCACCCCCAGCCCTCCCCTGCTCCTTGTGCTTGTCCTGCTCACCAGGAGTCTCTCCCGATTTTTACCAAAGTGGGAGAGCTCCCTGTGTGCAGCTGCCTGGCTCCAGGAGCACAGGGGCAGGAAGAAGCAGGGATCTGGGAATTGGGTTCGCTCTGTAACATGAAACAACAGCCTGAGCAGACACATTTCTGCCACCCCACGAGCAGGGCTGGGGCCTTGGCTCTTTCACCCAAATATCTGGAGCATCAATTAGTGACAGAAATGGAAAGATGAGCTCCAGCATTTTTAAACTGCCATGGTACATAATCCTCAGGAAAATGCCGAACCTCCTGGCCGAGTTTTCCTGTCTGTAAAAGGCAAAGTGCCCGAGGGCATCCCAAAAGGGCCGCCCTGGGGGGACGCCGGTGGCCACCCTTGCCACAGGTGTGGCACCCACAGCTGATGGCAGCGATGACGGGGCCAGGAACATGAGAAGGGGACACGCAGGGTGGGGAGGGGACAGCAACACTTTATCCCGTGCTAAGGCAGCCTCATGTGGAGCTGGTTAAGGGCTTGGATGCCAGCAGAGATTCCACTCCCCACCAGTGTGACAGCAGAGGAAACTGAAGCCTGACCCTGTTGTGGAATCATCCCCTGCACTGACAGCAGGAGAAGTGCAGGGGAATGGCAGGGGAATGGCAGGAGAATGGGAATGGAAGGGGAATGGCAGCCTAGCATGGGAATGGCAGGGGAATGGCACCAGGCATGGGAATAGCAGGGGAATGGCAGGAGAATGGCAGGAGAATGGGAATGGCAGGGGCATGCCAGGCTGGCAGAGGGCAGGGGCAGGAGCCCGGCAGGGGCAGGAGGCTGGCAGGGGCAGGGGCAGGAGCCCGGCAGGGGCATGCCAGGCTGGCTGGCAGGGGCAGGAGCCCAGCAGGACACTCACGTTTCTCAGCAGGCTGGGCCGTGTGGAACAGCGTCAGCGGGCGCTCGCTGCACGACGGCGGCTTCGACTCCGCGCTCTTCTTGCGCGATAACAGCAGCTGCGAGTTGGACGCAGGAGCCTCTGGCACCGTGTTAAATATCTGTTAAAAATAATAAACAACTTGTTCTTTGGCATCACCCCGTGGAACAGGACAGCTGCCCACCTGCCTGCTCCACAGCACAGCCCCTGAGCAGCACATGCACTCAACAGGGCAGCGTTGATTCCTAAATTCCACATTCCCACTCTGGCTGCACTCCTCTTTTTTTTCACCCAAGATGCAAGCTATAAAGAACCCCGACACTCTGGCACTTTTTGGGGTGCAGGTGATGCTGAGCAGCCCAGCCAGGCCAGCCAGTGTCCCCTCCCATGCCCCCACGCTCCCACGGCTGCAGACCAGCTTGGGAAAGTCTTTGCAACTTCCAGCTACAGCTGTCAGAGAACTGAGTAATCGCATTTTTCTCAAGGGGATGAAATTTTAAAACTGCACAAAAACCCAAAGAGCAGCAGCCCTGCTGGTTGCTGATATTGGGTTATGTATTGTTCCTCTGCTGGACCCCCAGGCTCAGACAAGGGCAGTGGCCACTCCAGACCAGCTCTCTCAAAGTCCCTCTCCATTGCTGGAGTCCACTGAAGCCATTCCTCAGTGTCTTTCCTGCTCTACCTGCCCCAGCCAGCAGACAGCTGCCATGGCCAGGCTTTCCCAACAGGAAAAGCACATGTTGGCACAGCTCTCTGCTCAAGAACTGGATGTGGACGTTGAGCCATGATGCCACCCCAGCCAGGGCAAGCTGCTTTCCACTTCTGCCTTTCCACTGCCCAAATGCACAAATCCATTACTCCCTTCCAAACAAAACCAGACTGACAAAAGATCATAATCAGGGAACTGGCTGCATTTAGAAGAAAATGGTGTTTTTTTAGCACATGCAGCCAGGGAGGGGCAGCCAGGAGCTTGGCCCCACAGAGCCACCACTGCTCCACTGACAGAGCACAACATCCACCAAACAAACACAAATGCAGCAGGATTCAGATTAACACTGTGGATAAAGGCAGTGCTTGGATAAACCTGGATTTAGTCAGCAAAGCAGGAGCTGTGCATCTCACTGGTTTGCTTTAGTGTTCGACTCTCTTGAAACCAAGGACAAACTCCCATTAAACAGTGGGAAAGGGGGAGAAAGGGAATTTCTGTGCAGGAGACACGGCCATGCTGACTCACCCTGGGATGACCATGAACAAAGCTGCCCACCAGCAGCACTGCTCACACAGCTCCAGCCCCAGCACTCGGTGCCAGCTGCCCCCTCCCTGGCACTGCCCCACCGTGGTGCCACCAGCCACGGGGAGAGAGGGGGGCCTGGGAGAGGGGCCTGCCACGGGCAAAGAGAGACCAATTCCTTTCCATAACCTACTGACATGAAAGAAGCAAGGGAAGCCATTACCTTCTCATGGTTCTCTATTAAAATTTCGATCACAATGTTCTGGAATTTGATGTCCATAATGGCAGCCACTGTTTCCTCCTGAGGTCGAAGCAGCGTCGGCCCAAACACCACACCCAGATTAGCAACAGTCATCAGGTTCTGCTTGTGATTATCTGCAACTCTGGGAGAGAAAGAGAAAGAGAATGAAGTAGGTGATGGAACTAATCCACAGGGAACCCCCTCCCTGCCCTCCCTGCCTCGTGGCTGGCACAAGGCTTACAATGCTGTTTACATTTTTCACGCTCATGGTGAGCCCCTTGAAGGCTCAGCCATGTGGAAAAGTACAAATTTAACTGTTGTGCTCCTGGAGACCTTTCAGCCTCCCTGAATTGACTAATCCCACAAAACCCCAGCCTCACGCCAGCCACTGAGCCTCACGCTGCAAACCACTCCCAGGGAAACATCTTGAATCATTAATGCTTAAAACCCTTCTGAAAACAAACTCTTGGACCTCTGACACACACTGCTCTCCAACTCAATGAGTGACCTCATATGTTCCAAAGGCCAACTCCTTCCCAGCCATTCCAGCACCAGAGGTCAGTCCCATCTGGCCCAGCCAGGCTGGCTGGGAGGACAAGATGGGGCTTTGTCCCCAAATCCCCCTGCCCCACGAGTTCCCTTCTCCATGGTACAGGGACACAGGGACACCCAAGCCATCCTCCTCACCACCTCCATCTCTTTTAGCTCACAAGAGGCACAGACCAGCTCAGCAAGGTGAAGCAGCTCACGCTGAGGATGTGGCACCCTGGTTATGGTGTTTGAGGGGTTATCCTGGAGCAGCTCCACTTGGCACCTGGTCTAAGAGGTCCCAGTAGCCCAAATGGGACACATGTTCTGCTCTGCCTCACCCCAAGGGGACACAGCAACAGGACACAGGCAGGCACCCCTCAGCCAGGCTGGGCTGCAGGTGCTTGGCTTGGACAGAGCTCACCAGGTGCCCTGGATGCTGCTGAGTCACACAGACACTGCTGTCACACAGGGACACGTGTGTGCCACGACCTGCACACTGCTGTGTCACTGCTGTCACACAGGGACACGTGTGTGCCACGACCTGCACACTGCTGTGTCACTGCTGTGTCACTGCTGTGTCACACACACACACACACGTGTGCCATGAGCTGCAGTGCTGCCCTGTGTCCAGGAATGTTTCCTGTGGTTGGTTCCTGTCCCCCTCAGCCAGGCAGGGTGCTGGTTTGTCAGGCTGTGCTCACACAGTTGTAGCCTGAGGGGGTTTAGTGTCTCTTCCTTCACTTTCTCTCCCGTTTCCCTGGACAAGTGCAGCACACACTGAGGTTCAGACTCGCTAGCTGGACTGACCCTAAAATTTATTGCTGTGAGTTTCTCCCATTGATCTCGGGGTCAAGACAATCACGTGCAAGCTCAGCACATCTCAGCACGCTGGAAGCCCAGGCTGGCTAACACGAAAAGATGCTTTCCACCCTTTTCCATCCAAGGCTCACCTGAACCAGCAAAGAACTCATCCCTACACACATCTCCTGAGGCAGCAGACAGGGATCTCATCACAAGGGGGGCTCAGGGCTGCTGGCTTAGCTCCCCCCAACAGCAACACCAGCCCTACTCAGTGCCTGGGCCAGAAGCCTCGTGCTGGTGCACATTCCATCCCTGGGGAACAGGCAGAGCTGTCCCCTGCACTGTCTGTGCCTGGGCTCCAGCCTCAGAGTGGGGAGGTCCTGGCCAAAGCCCTGGCGAGCTGGCAGGACCTCCCTCCTTACCCGTAACTCCCCCCACTGCCAGGAAGCTCTGAATATTTGATCACAGCCTGCTGGAAATCTCCAGTGTCAGGAAATGGCTGGGACACACGGGCTGCCCTGGAGAGGGCTCTGCCACAGAGATGACAACCTCAGCAGAGGTGACAGTGTGCTGCTCACACTGCCAGGCTGGCTGTCCCCACCCCTGGGTGGGCACAGAGCCTCTCCCCATCCCCATCCCCATCCCCATCCCCATCCCCATCCCCATCCCCATCCCCATCCCCAGCACAGCCAAGAGCTCACCAAGCTCCTCATGGCCGTGCCAGCCAAGCTGGGAGGGGAAACAAACTCGCAGCAAACAAGCCCAGCAAGAAACAATACATACTAAAAAATACTTATATGGGGATTCGATCCCACCCACACCACTCACAATTCCCAGTGACATTTTTGCATTGCAAAATTGCATTTCAGACACTTTCACGTGCTTCTAATTGGATATGGAAAAACGCAGCTGTAGTCCAAATGGTTTTCAAAAGCACTAATAAAATAATAATTTTAATGATCTTCTGTGGTTAGTGAAACAATGTTCATTTATTAAAAAAAACAACGGAATTGATCTAAGTCACACAAAATTAGGTGCCTCCATTTCTCATTACCGTTCCCATGTCCTACATCACTCTAATAAATTGCACTGTCACCAGCTCATTACAGGGAGGCAGCTGAGCGTGGTCCTGGTCATTATTTCACACTGGGCTATTCATGGTTTCCCAGGCAGGACATGGTCCCACAGCAGCAGCAGCAGCCACGGGCCTGCCCAGGCACCCACAGGCTGCTGGTCCTCACCTGCAGCACCAAATCCCTCCTCAGAGGATTTGGCTTTGCCTCTGTGAAACCTGGAATAAACCTCAGTGGCTCAGGAACTGCTGCCCTGCACCCCAGGTACTTTTCCTGCAATAGCCACCCCTGTACTGGGTCACCACAGCCGTGCTCCAAAACATGATTCACCTTTCACATCCTTCAAATTCCCCATCCATTACCCACAGGATAATTTGCTCTAAATTATAGCTCTTCATCATCCTTTGTGCTAGGAAATAACGCCACAGTTTCTAAAGATGGGTGTTCTCAGCCCAAAGTGGGGCTTAATGCTGGGGCTCTTCACTGTCAGTGCCATTCCCCAGCTGCTCTTTAGAAGTTTGCCAAGCACTCACTGTATTTCCCTTTTAACCTGATGTTTTCTTCTGGCCCCTGATGCACTCTGAGAGAATCATTCATTTCTGTGGGTGCTTTTCCTGCTCCCCACTTTACAGGAGTCACTTCCAGCACAGGAGGAAGCAACACCTAAAGGAGGAATGTGCAGCATCTCTGCACTTCACTGCTGCCCAGGCTCTCAGGGGCTGTCCCTGGCTTTGGGACCCTGCTCCTGGCAGCAGGGGATGGATGTGGGGCAGGGGAGCCCCCTGGCCAGGGGAATGGCTGTGCCTCACCAGCCAGCAGCTCCATGGAGCCCTGACCCACTTGGTGCTGAGCCAGCACCCAGCTGGTGTCACTGGGACCCAGCCCTGCCGTGCCCTGGGCACAGCATCACCCCCCAGGCCAGCCCCAGGGTGTCCCCTCTTCTCACTTCTCACTCCCTTGCAGCAAAACAAAGGAGAACCTCAGCGGAGTAAATCCATGTTGGGTGTTAAATTAGATTATGGCCGGGTTGCCTGGATACTGTATAATCACTGCCATGACCAAACACAATTTAATACGGGGTAATTGGTAGCCAAGGTTCAGTGCAGGGGAAGCAGGGAACAGTAAATATTCCAGTGTGGTCAGAGCTCCATGAGGGGCTCCTGGCTCTGCTCCCACAGAACTCCTGCCTCTGTGTCTGGAATTACTTCCTGCATGTATTCTATATATGTATTTATATATATATATATGTATAAACTGCTGGGTATTTTATATATAAACAAGTATTTTATATATAGAATGCATGGATCTGAATCTCAGCCAAAAGTGCCATTATTAGTTCAAATATCTTCCCTGATTCAGAACAAAATCCCTGAGCAAACAACCATCGGAAGGGAACAAAAGCAAAGTCTGGAGTGTTTCTATTTCCATGCCTGGGACAAACCTTTCCAATCAAAGTGCTTGTTGTGGCTGGTCTAGCAAGTCCTCATAGGATGGAAAATAATGCAGCTCATTCCTCTTGTACAGGTAAAAATCCATCCCCTGTCTGCCACCACCAGCAGAGCTTCTGTTTAATGTGAAAAGCCAATCACACAGAGGCCAGCAATCCCCAAAATTATTTGGGTAGTTGGACAGAAATTAAACACCTTTGACTCTGGACATAGAGGGGAGGTCAAAAGCAGAGGAGCAGAGGCAGCACATTGGGTGGGGAGGCACCACCAGCCTTGTTCCCACAAAGTGTGTGCACAGAGTCATGGAATCATTGGGGTGGGAAAAGCCCCCCAAGACCCCCGAGCCCAACTGCTCCCCCAGCACTGCCAAGGCCACCACTAAGCAGTGGTGCCACATCTGCACACTTTTAAATCCCTCCAGCAATGGGGACTCCACCACTTCCCTGGGCAGCCTGTGACAACCCTTCCAAGGAAGGAATTTTCCCTAATTCCAACCTGAACCTCCCCTACTGAACCTGAGGACATTTCCTCTTGTCCTGTCACTTGTTACCCAGGAAAAGAGGGTGACTCCCACTCATTCACCTACAACCTCCTGTCAGGGAGCTGTGGAGAACCAGAAGTTCCCCCCTGAGCCTCCTTCTGTCCAGGCTGAGCCCCTTTCCAGCTGCTCCTCACCAGCTCCAGACCTTCCACAGCTCCAGAAATGCCCCTGGGGCAGCACAGCCCCTGCCCGGGGAGGCTCAGCAGGGCTGGGCTCAGTCCAGAGGATGCAGCTGAGACCCCCCAGGCCCTGCCCTGGGAATGGACAGACAGACAGAGAGGCTGTGAGCACTGGATGGACACACAGAGGTGTGAGCACACACAAATGGGGGCATTTATCTGACAGCAGCCCCCACCCCAGCCCTTTACCCTGGACCTCACTGGGAATGGACAGACAGACACACAGACACAGCAGCCTGAGCACACACAACTGGGGGCATTTCTCAGACACAATCTAATGAGTTCTGGGAAATGCTCCTGGCTGCATTTAACTCATCCCTGCACGTTATTGAGTTTAATTGGGCTGTGGCTGCTGAGTGCAGAGGTGGACAGGGAAGAGGGGCTGGGCTGGCCACCACTCAGCTTGTCCCCTCTCCAAGGAGCTGCTGGAGCTGTGTCCCCAGGGATGGTGGCCCTGCAGCTCCCTGGGGATTATTCACTTCTCACTCAAAGCCAGGGTGGGTTTCCCAGCCCCGGGAATGTGTCTGATGGCTGGGAAGGCAGGAGGTGTTTATTGCAGGAATGTTGTC